CATAGAGGAACGCCTTACGCGCGTCGAAGCTTCGATTAATCACCTCCTCACCAGCTTCTCTGTCCAACGCATAGTAGTAGAGGTTACCCAGGCTATTCAAGCCTGGACAATCACCCAGTTTCAACCCAAGGCATCGCGTTCCCGCTTCTGCTCGGTGAGCAGTGAAAGTGCAGCTCCACGGCGTCGTCGTAAGGTGGCTACCACCACCCCGCCGTCGAACAATCCGGCCTCTGTGCCCCTCCCTGCCTCTGAGGATTCCGAGCGGGACATGGAGGGCCAAATATAAAACCTAAGACAACCACGATGGGTACCAATCGTACGTCCCGTTCAAACATTGCGTCTAAATTCGAGATCATACAGTGGAACCCTGGAGGCTTTGGGAACAGGCGAAAGCGTTCACATCTTTCCCTTTTCCTCAGCTCACTTGGCTCTCAGCCAGCCGTCTTGGCGCTCCAAAAATCTGGCCCTGCTCCATCCCTTTTAGGCGGCACCACCACATGTCTCCTCGTGCATAAAGCTTACACGGCGATACAGGTTGACTTCGATCTGGATCTTCCTTACGACTACTGCATGATATCAGTGCTGTCTCAGCGGAGGGGCCAACCATCAATACATATCTTAAACGTGTACTGTCCCCCTCGCCTTGCGAGGGCTTCGTTTGCGCATCTCTACCATCGGGCGCTGCGTATAGCGGCCCGACAACACTGGTGATTGTCGGGGACTTTAATGCCCCCAGCCCTCACTGGGGTTACCACTACGAGAAGGCCCGGGGCAGAGAGCTCAAGGAGCTCATTTCCTCGCTGAGCCTCACGCTTCTTACCGATCCGTCACAACCCACACGTTCCGGACATCGGTCACGCGAGACACATGCCCCGACCTCTCCCTCACCCGTCACATCTGCGATGCTACATGGGAAAATTTAGGCGAAACCCTCGGCAGCGATCACTTTTTACTCCGCATTTCGTTCACACCGCGGCAGAAAATGCGCCAACACTGGGGCCAAGCCCGTCTCACCGATTGGACTCAGTTCAGAATGCAACCATTTCCCGCCGTCCTCTCCTCGACCGAATATGCCGCGTGGGCATCATACGCTCTCCATTTGAAACAAGCGAACACTCGCACCCTTGCAACCTCTAATTTGACTCCTGCAATTGATCCACACCTCCTACATCTTTGGCACGCTCGCCGCGGGCTCGAAAGGCGCTGGAAACGCAACAAACTTAATCGGAAACTTCGCGCTCGCATTGAGGCGCTCACTGCAGAGGCGGCCGCATACTCTGCATAACTTTCCGATGCTAACTGGGCAGACACCTGTTCGAAGGCTGCAAACCAGATGAGCTCTAAGAGTGCGTGGCGACTCTTCCGAATCCTTCTCGATCCCTCGACCACCAGGGGAGAAACGTAACGCCAGCTCCACCGTGCTCTGCATGCCTTTCAGGGCACTACGGATCAACTCGTGCGAGAACTTTGTGACCGCTACATCTGCCGCACAATTGATCCCGCGGGCCCAGCATATACGTATTCCGGCGCCCCTAACAACGACCTCGACGCCCCATACACGCTTTTCGATTTGCGATTTGCACTCACGAAAATGCGACGGGGCACGGCCCCTGGACGCGACGGAATCACAGTATAGCTCCTGGCAAATCTTCCCGACCAAGCACACCTCACGCTACTCCACCTTATAAATTCGATATGGGACGGCTCTCCGCTGCCAACGGAATGGACCACATCGGTCGTGACATTCATACCCAAATCGGCAAAGTCCGTTAGTATCGAGGCACGGAGACCCATCTCACTTACGTCCTGCGCAGGAACTCATGGAAACCATGGTTCGCGAACGCCTTTCCGCCTACTTGGAGGCCAGGAGGACCTTTGCCGACACGATGTTTGGCTTTCGCCCACATCTGTCGGCGCAGGACGTCCTGCTCCAGCTTCAACACGATATCATAGAGCCGACTACTATGCGCCATAACGATAAAGCCGTGCTCGCTCTCGATCTCCGCGGGGCATTCGACAACGTCAAACAAAGCACTATACTCACTAACCTGTCTACCAAAAACTGCGGGCAGAAGACTTTCAACTACATTCGCGCCTTTCTATCACATCGCACCGCCTTCATTTGCCTTAATTCTACCGAACACGGCCCGTACTTATTAGGCACGCGGGGTACACCTCAAGGGGCAGTCCTGTCTTCTCTGCTTTTTAACCTGGCGATGATGAACCTCCCCTCTCTTCTAAGCGAGGTCGAGGGAATACAACACGCACTATATGCGGACGGTATCACAATCTGGACCAACACCGGCTCCTTAGCGCAAATCGAAGAACGCCTGCAAAAGGCTGCCCTTCTGGTGGATACCTACGCTGGTTCATGCGGCCTGGAGTGCTCTCCAGCTAAATCGGCTCTTCTTTCAGTCTCTCCGCTACCGCCGCCTCAAATTTTTCTTCCGTCCGGGCCCGTCCCGTCAGTGCAAAATATTCGGGTTCTTGGCCTTCACCTCACATCGTTCTTGGATCCAAAGGGCACAATAGCAGGCCTAAGACGCACCAGCGAGCAGGTGAGCCGCATGATACGGCGAGTGTCTACCAAGCGCGGCGGCCTCCGCGGGTCTCAGTCCCTCCGATTGGCCCACGCGTTTGTGACCAGTCGCGTCCTCTACGCCTTGCCTTACCTTCACCTGCGTCGTCGACACGAGCACCAGCTGGACGTCCTTCTTCGTTCAGTATACGAACGCGCTCTGGACCTACCTATTGCAACTTCCACCAGCCGATTCGCGGCTCTGGGGGTACACAACACCTTTGCAGAGATGCGCGAAGCTTATCGCGTTAACCAAATCAATCGACTGTCGCAGACGCCTTCAGGGCGCCGTCTTCTACACAGACTTGGCCTTAACCCGATATCTGACCAAGACCCTCTGCAGCCGGTACGAGAGCTCTGGCGTCAAAAGCTATGGGTTGAACCTCTACCCCGTAATATGAACCCCGAGCTCCATCCTGGCCGTAGACTAGCACGCGCCGCGGCCCTTCATACGCGACACTCCAATCGTCCTGGTGTTTTCTACGTGGACGTCTCGGGTCCCTCCCCCTCGGGTCACTTCACGGCTGCCGTGATTACAGAGGGCAAACACGTCGATGGCCTCTCCTTTCGAGCAGACACAGTAACGCACGCTGAAGAGGTTGCCATAGCTTTGGCCGCCTCTCACCCTGCCTCACGCACCATCCTGACGGACTCGCGCTCGGCCTGTTCTCAGTACCTTCAGGGTTCCATTGCCCCGCTGGTGGCTAGCCTACTACAGGCAGCCTCTTGGTGCTTTAACCCTCATCCCATTCGTATAGTCTGGACCCCAAGCCACTCGGGCCTGCCCGGCAACGAGGCGGCAAATGCCGCTGCCCGCGCTTCTCCTGCCCGGGCCGTTGCCCCTCCATGTCCCGAGACGGAATCTGGCAATACCAACCTGACGCGCTTTCGCGAAATTTTGGCTTATTACCGGGCTTCGCACCGCCTCTACCCGGACCCCGCACGTGGTTTGGAGAAAGAGGACGAACGACTGCTACGCCGCCTGCAGACGAACACCTTTATCAGTCCGGCGGTCGCCAGGCACTTTTTGTCGGAAATCAATGGCACCTGCTCGACCTGTCATGTCCTCGCCGACACATGTCACGTCGTAGCATCGTGCCCAGTTAATCCCGTCCCTTTCTCATCCCCTTTTCCTATCCCAACTAGAGAGGCTTGGGAGGAGCACCTGCTCGGCTGCTCTACCTTGGCTGCGCAACGCTCCTTGGTGGAGCGCGCACGGGCAGCTTCCAGCTCCACTGGCGTCCCGGAATAGGGTCTTGCCACTCTAGCACGCCGATGGGCCACGTCGGCACTCTCTGGTAGACTTTTTCTGAAATAAATGTTTTTTACCACCACCTACCTTGGCGCGCTTCCTCTTTCGCCGACTGTCTGTGTGCTTCCAGTATGAGCGACGAAGACAAGTCGGCGGAGCGGAGGCTCGTAAAAAGGTTCCAGCACGTGCTCGGCGCCTTTTCATAATGATTGACTGAGCAATATTCACGGAGGATTAACGGTTTACCGATTTACCTCCGGAACTTTGCCCGCTCATTATCATTCACTCCATGGATATGCTGCGATTTTTATTTTATTTTGGTCAGCGCTGCGTTTTCTTCTTCCAGTTAGTGTAATTATTTTCCAATCTGTTTCAAGCAATGACGCGGCTCTGTGGCAGAATACTTGCTTGACACACGGGCAGCGTAAGTTTGATTCTCACTTTCAACCAAAAAGTTTTATCGTGTTCGTGTTTCTCAATTTTTTGGTCATGAACAATATTTTTTACAACCAACAATTCCGACACCAATGGCGGGACGGCAAAAGAACAAGACGATAAACTGTCAGAGTGAATGCTGTCCTTCAAAAAATATTCAAACTGTCGAACACATAATTACTCCAAATGATTCTTTTCCAAATTGTTTTATTCATTCATTAATTTGTTGTTGTCGCTGTCCATTTCTAATATTCAATTTCGCCCTTGCTCTCTCATAATTAAAAAACGTTAGCTAACAAATTAACCTATTTCGTCAGAACTACCTGGTTCTTGGCCAATCCCCCATCGCGCATGTGTGTCACAGTTTCCAGGCCCTTCCTTCCTTGTTGCCTTTTAGGTTTCATAAAGGTCTAGATCAAAGTAAAATACTTGGGTCAGTGCGATGCTACGAAAGAACTAGCTTACTACGAACTTCTTCTGTAAACAAAATAATTTTGATGCAAAGAACGCGTTCTAGCCACACTCGTCTTCAATTTGTCTGGGCTCTTCGTAAGCGGTGGCAATCCGAATACGACTTTCTCGCGCGTGCAAGAGTGTCGCAGTGCCAGTTGTACTGCTAGGAAGCTGTATAAAACTATATGGGCACAAGACACGAGACGAGAAACCAATGGTTTAATTTTGCTTCGACCATCGAGGACAACTGGCTTCCAAAAAAAAGCAGAAAAAAAGGAAGCGGAATCTTGGCGTAGCGGGCAAGGTCGTGGAGCCTTGCGAAAGTTGGGGGCCGCGTTCTTCCTTTTACGAGCTTGGTTGTGTGGCAGCGACACCTTAAGCGAGCCCGTTCAGCTCATCGAACCACTTGCGTAGCGCTTTCTTCTCTTCCGGAGGCAGGAAACAGTTATCGATGGCATCGTGGTTCTGAAAGAAGAAAATCGTTATGCTTTCAATTCTACCATAATTGCGTGATTTCTATCGCAGTATGGCGTGTATTGTTACTTATACACGTTCTGTATATAAGCAAAGAAAGATGGAAATATTAATGCATGTGACGTCTGCGTTCTAATGGGAATATAATTTCGCAAGTACAACCAAGCGAAACCATAGTAATTATGCCAACAAAGGTATGGTCGACAGTTTTTTTTTTATATATAAACTGCAGTGTGAGAGTCTGCCATGATGTAGCAAAGGTTATACAATTCTCGGCTGCTTACCCGAAGGCTGCTGGTTCGATCCCAGCAGCGGTGCTCGCATTTCAATGCAGGTGAAATCGTAGATGTTAGGGCAGATTAAAGAACACCAGATGATTGTAAGTTTCATAGCCCTTCAATACGGCCGTCTCTTACATCTATATCGCGGTTTTGTGGCGTAGAATCCCTGATATTATTGTTATATTAACTGTGGTATTACGACGTAAATGTAAATCAGCTTAAGAGGTCAAAAACAAAACAAAAATACTACCGTCTGTGGGGCCCGAAACCCCCAACCTTCGAATTGCGTCTCGACGGTATATCCATCGACCTAGACGAAGGGTATTGTCCTGCCGTCACTTGTTTTGTCCATGTTTTTTTCAGGTTTCACCTAATATAAACGTCCCTCAAAAAATATAGAAATAAATAAGTGTACCATAATGGCCTACTTTTTCAAGTGATATTATGAAATAATAAAGAAAAGAAGATTAATCGCAAGAAAAGTTCTACAAGTGTGAGCCATGCGATCGACAACTTCGCTCACATTAACACCACTGAACAAGTTGACGCTGCCGTGAAGGCAACGCAATGAAAGTTAAAATCAGAATTAACTATGCTTATTGCAAAGTGCTCTCTCGTGATACGCACCGTCTTAATGATGTCCTGGGGTGAGAGCCCCTGTCTCAGTGCCAGCCAGTACTCGTCGTCAATGTCCGTGTGCGTGATGGTCGGGTCGTCAGTGCTCATCGAGAAGCTGGCGTTATGCTTCTTGCAACTGCGAGGGAAACCATAGAAACGATCCATCCATCTATCTATCTATCTATCTATCTATCTATCTATCTATCTATCTATCTATCTATCTATCTATCTATCTATCTATCTATCTATCTATCTATCTATCTATCTATCTATCTATCTGTCTGTCTGTCTGTCTGTCTGTCTGTCTGTCTGTCTGTCTGTCTGTCTGTCTGTCTGTCTGTCTGTCTGTCTGTCTGTCTGTCTGTCTGTCTGTCTATCTGTCTATCTATCTGTCTATCTGTCTATCTGTCTGCCTGTCTGTCTGTCTGTCTGTCTGTCTGTCTGTCTGTCTGTCTGTCTGTCTGTCTATCTGTCTATCTGTCTATCTGTCTGTCTGTCTGTCTGTCTGTCTGTCTGTCTGTCTGTCTGTCTGTCTGTCTGTCTGTCTGTCTGTCTGTCTGTCTGTCTGTCTGTCTGTCGCAGCAAAACGTACGCCATCATAGGGTGCTCCTCGGTAGGCTTCACGGCTCCCGTCAGGTAGCTGCTGTTGGGACACACCTCGAAGTGAATCTTCTTGGATATAGCCAGCTTGAAGGCCTCGCCACCCTCGCGCATGGCGGCGTAGCCATGCCCAATACGCTCGGCGCCCAGCTCAGTGATCGCGCGCGCGATGTTGCTCGGAGGGCCGGCTTCACCAGCGTGGGCCGTGCGGTGAACACCCAGGGTGGCCGCTTTCTGGAGAAGATAAAAAAAGGCAGCAAGCGACGAAAGAAACGTCCCGTTAACCGAAACTTTATGATATCCACAGCCAAAACCGGGATTGTATGATGAGGGACCTTGTATGATAGGGTTTCGACAGTTTCGCCCATCCGGTGTTCTACCTGTACTTTCGGGTCAACAGCTGAACACCGTAACCACTGTACTGCTGCCGCAGACATGGAATGTCAAGCTGACGTTCCACAAAGACGCTTTCTCTTTTATTGCGATAGCAATCATATGGACGCTCTCGGCTGGATTTCGCCGCCGGCGTCGGCGTCAATGTCACGCACCGTATATAATGCCACGTTCCATTTCCCAAGTTTTTGTTATCGTCCCAAAACACCACACGATTCTCAGCGCAAACCGCGCCTGCAGTTTTCGAGGGTGTTCCGGACTGTAGCAGATCATTTCGATAAGATCACGCCCACTGTGCGAATGGTACAGATTGTTCTGGAACGCACGCCGCCGCCAGCGATAGCGCTAGAACATTCGACGGCGGGAGTATAAATGCCGACGCGCTTCGCCGCTTGTCAGTTGTTGATCGAAGGCCGACGCTCCGTTCGCCGCTACCAGTCTAAGACTGCTATCTGTGCGAGACTGCTGCTGTAATTGGACTTTCTGTTTACCGGGCACAGGTTCGCCCAAATAAACAGTTAAATTCCAACAAAAAGTCTCCTGTCTTCGGCCACGTCACGACCCCGTGACATTTGGTGGAGGTGCTGCTTCGTTCATGTACCGGACGCCCCCGTCAAGCCGTGTACCCAGCACCTCCACCAAATGTCACGGGGTCGTGACGTGGCCGAAGACAGGAGACTTTTTGTTGGAATACATACTGACGAACTGACAGAAATACATACTGACGCAAGCAGCGTAGGTCTTGGCGCCGTTCTTGTGCAGAGGGCTGACGGACTTGAAAGGGTTATTAGTTACGCCAGCCGATCGCTATCCAAAGCAGAAGCAAATTATTCCACAACAGAAAAGGAGTGCCTCGCCATCATCTGGGCTACGTCGAAATTTCGCCCATACCTCTACGGCAGGCCCTTCAAAGTTGTGAGCGATCACCACGCCTTGTGTTGGCTAGCCACTTTGAAGGACCCTTCAGGTCGCCTCGCACGATGGAGCCTGAGACTTCAAGAATATGACATTACTGTCATTTACAAGTCCGGCAAAAAACACTCCGACGCCGACTGTCTCTCTCGTGCACCTGTCGACCAACCACTACCCGACGCCCCGGATGACGACTACTTCTTGGGAATGATAGCTACCGACGACTTCGCTGAACGACAGCGGGCCGACCCGGAACTTAAGGCCCTAATAGAATACCTCGAAGGCAGGACCGCCGAAGTCCCGAAGGTATTTAAGCGCGCACTTGCGTCGTTTTTTCTACGAAACGGTCTTCTACAAAAGAAAAACTTTTCACCGCTTCGGGCTAAGTATCTCCTTGTGGTGCCTTCAGCTCTGCGACCAGAACTCCTGCAGGCCCTGCACGACGATCCGACGGCAGGGCACCTCGGTGTTTCTCGCACGCTCGCGAGGATACAAGAAAGGTACTACTGGTCACGTCTTACCACCGACGTCACTCGTTATGTGAGGACATGCCGGGACTGTCAGCGACGCAAGACACCGCCGACAAGGCCAGCGGGACTTCTGCAGCCAATTGATCCACCTTGCCGACCTTTCCAGCAGATTGGTATGGACCTATTGGGGCCGTTCCCGACGTCGAATTTCGGAAACAAGTGGATCGTGGTAGCTACCGACTACCTCACCCGCTACGCCGAGACAAAAGCCCTGCCAAAAGGCAGTGCATCCGAGGTAGCTAAGTTCTTCGTCGAAAATATTGTCCTACGTCACGGCGCCCCGGAGGTCCTTATCACCGACAGAGGAACGGCATTCACTGCCGACTTAACTCAAGCGATCTTGGCATACAGCCAAACAAACCACCGCCGGACGACAGCGTACCACCCACAGACCAACGGCCTCACCGAGCGGCTTAACAAGACGATCGCCGACATGCTGTCAATGTACGTCGATGTCGAACACAAGACGTGGGATGCCATTCTTCCGTATGTGACCTTCGCATACAACACGGCGGTGCAGGAGACGACGCAGATATCTCCATACAAATTGGTCTACGGAAGGAGCCCGGCAACGACGCTCGATGCCATGTTACCCAACGTCACCGACGAAGAAAACCTCGATGTGAGCGAGTACCTTCATCGCGCCGAAGAAGCCCGACAACTTGCGCGGCTCCGTATCAAGAATCAACAGACGACCGACAGCCACCGTTACAACCTTCGACGACGCTTCGTGGAATACCAGCCCGGTGAACGTGTTTGGGTGTGGACGCCGATACGCCGACGTGGACTAAGTGAAAAGCTTCTGCGACGGTACTTCGGACCGTACAGGGTGGTTCGACGTCTCGGCCCACTTGATTACGAGGTTGTCCCCGACGGCATCACGAACTCTCAACGACGCCGATCGCGACCTGACGTCGTCCATGTCGCACGCCTCAAGCCGTTTCATGCACGTTAACAAACTGAAACAGTGTTTTTTTTGTATTATTGTTGTATCGTAATTTATTCATTGTACTTTCTTGCATTAATATTGTACCTTCATCTTTAGTTAAAGCATCGAGACGATGCTTTTTTCAGAGGGGGGCAATGCCACGTTCCATTTCCCAAGTTTTTGTTATCGTCCCAAAACACCACACGATTCTCAGCGCAAACCGCGCCTGCAGTTTTCGAGGGTGTTCCGGACTGTAGTAGATCATTTCTATAAGATCACGCCCACTGTGCGAATGGTACAGATTGTTCTGGAACGCACGCCGCCGCCAGCGATAGCGCTAGAACATTCGACGGCGGGAGTATAAATGCCGACGCGCTTCGCCGCTTGTCAGTTGTTGATCGAAGGCCGACGCTCCGTTCGCCGCTACCAGTCTGAGACTGCTATCTGTGCGAGACTGCTGCTGTAATTGGACTTTCTGTTTACCGGGCACAGGTTCGCCCAAATAAACAGTTAAATTCCAACAAAAAGTCTCCTGTCTTCGGCCACGTCACGACCCCGTGACAATATATATAATATATATATATATATATATATATATATATATATATATATATATATATATATATATATATATATATATATATATATATATATATATATATATATATATATATATATATATATATATGTGTGTGTGTGTGTGTGTGTGAAAACGCAAAAAAGCCAGAAAAAAAACGACTCCGGCGAGCGGAATCAAACGTGGGACCACCGGGTCGTGAATGCGAGTGGGTAACCTCTCAGCCACCCAGATTTTTTTTCTTTATTACCGGTTTTGCATGTGGTACAAACGTCAATATAGGCCACTACGAACAATAACATACATAACAGAAGCGATTGCAACACAGTCGGAATATGATTAGTGGTTACAGTGCTAAAATTCCTTTAGGTTCACCAGGGGTTCAACCTTGGAGAGCCATTCCGGAACAAAGTCTTGTTGTTTGAGCATATCAATGTATTGAGCAATGCTTTTGCGGAAAAGCACGTGCGCATGGCGCCTGTTAGGGTCACAGTTGAAGCCGGCCATTTTAACCCACCATAGACAATGGAGGCCAAGCAGCATTATAAGATCAAAAGGCAGTCCATCCTCTTTTTCTACTGTTACAAATCTGATACTCGGTGAATGTAAGGGAAGTTCCTTTTTTAAAGTTCTCTGTAAAACATACCAGAAGTAGACCCCTTCCCAACACTGCAAAAAACGTGATCTATTGTCTTCGGCTTTCGACAGATCAAACAGTTCGAACCCCATGGCATATAAAATCCTCTATCTTCTAAAGAAGTCTCAACTGGTAACGTGCCCGTGTGTAATTTAAAGAAGAAGCTTTTTGCACTAGGCTGAATTTGCATTTTCTTAACACGCTTATTAACATCATTGCCCTCTCCCCCACTATTAATTAACCTATACATAGCAACCGGAGAAATCATGTTGCTTATGTCTTTATGCAATTTCTTTCACCCGACCTAAAACAGGCATTTCTTGGAAAACCAAACTCACAAGAAGTGGACACTGTCCGCAACTTCCTTTAAGAAACCGCGCGTGGCTCCAGACATGCTTGCGGGGCTAACACAAAGTTAGGCAAAACATGACAGAGGCGTAACTGGCATACCGTTCTCAAGCAGGGGTGTCAAACAACTCGAAAGAAAATAGAACGATTATAGTTGTCGAACAAACAGATGTGACAGGCTTATTCCCCCTGTTAAACTCTTCGGAACAGATTCATCCTACTACTTCTTTCCCAAGTGGACCCCCAACAAACATGGCAAATATTCTATGCAGCTTTTGCACGTGCACTCGTGAGTGACACAAAACCTGCATCACATACCATAATTCCCTCATTAAAATATGTTGCATACAGTGGCTCTGGCAAACATTGAGAGACAGTTGCCGTTCCACTGCGCTGTCTTTTCGCGCGTTTCTTTTATTTGTTCAGTCCAGTAGTCATTATAGTGTCTTTGTAGTGCTGGAAAGGCACGCCTAGGTATTTTGCTGGAGTTTTAAACCATTGAACGTGTGCATAGATATGAGGGACTGTTGTCCAATCTCCGTGCCACAGTTCCAGGCACTTTCCCCAATTCACCTTACTTCCTGTTATTTCTCAAAATTTTTCACAACGGCAACTGTCTTTTGTACACTTTCTTTGGTGGTAAAGCACACTGCTGCATCAGCGTATGCCAATATTTTTACATCGGCGTCCAGCAGTCTGAAACCACGGATGGTCTCGTTTTTTAGAGGCACCCAGAGGTATCTCCGTAAACGTTTAAACGGCAAGGTATTTATATCTACAACTTACCGCGGTTGGCGGGCATGTCGGGGTGAAATATCGGGTTTTCGGCATTATCAGAAAGATCGCGCAATGAGCCCGTGGCGGCTCTTATCTCTCACGCGTACTTTGGCCCGCGGAGAGGAGGGGGAGTGGACAATCTCTCGCATGGCCTTATCTTCCGGCGGTGAGAATCATACGTCTTGGCTGGCTTTGGGCTTGCACTGGGGCAATTCTGTTGTAGTTACGGGGCACACAAAGGTCACTGCAATCATCGCACCGCCTCCATTTGCGAAAAGGGCACGCTTTTCAGACACAGCAAAGTAACAAATGAGACGCTTATTCGCGTGCATCTGTACCTGTGAGTACTTTTTGTGCGTCATTTGTGCGTTAGGAACTTGGGGCTTCGATCTGCTTTCCATTCTGCGCGTGACCTTCCAATTGGTTGCTATTGCGTTTATTGCTTCGCCTTTGCGGCAAAGCTGTGACTTTTTCTATCATCTAAAGAGTTTTACAGTCACTTCTTGATTAATTCGACAAAGATGATTAAGAATAAATTGTGCCGAGATATAAATCTTACCTTTTCTAGACGTCCCCAACTTGTATGTACAAACTGAAACAAAGACTTCATTGATTGATTGATTGATTGATTGATTGATTGGTTGATTGATTGATATCGTGGTTCCGGCAAGTATAACGCCAACATTCATAATTAAACTCACGGGGTTTCGTAGTGGTTGCGGAATTCGACCAACTTTTGAGTTAGCGAAAAGGGTTGTCATGCGAAGTCATTTTATTTGGCGTCGTGATGACGTCATAGGATGGCGTCTTCACATTAAGGCGACTTCTTCTTTGCTCACTTGACACCGACATACAGAAGATCACTTTTTGCTCTGGCATTCAAAGATTTCGCCTTGAAGGTGTCACAAGTGTAGATGCACGACCACTCTTGCTGCGGTCAGCCTTGCGCACCAACCCCCTTTCGCGCCGCTTGTTAGTTGAGCTAGTTACCTTAAAGGCTTGTATGACTTGAGGGTGAAGGATCTCCTCGCCCTCCTTCGCGGTCTGCTTCGGGGCGAACACTCCGCACACGTCCATGCCGACAACGCCCTTGCCCTTGTACTCCTGGCATAAGGTCACGACCTCGTCAGCCCATTCTGCGAGAAAACCAACCAGATACATTGCATTAAATCCACCCCATATACCCAGACGTTCAAAAAAAAAAAGAACTGTAGGAAACTCAATCATTGGAGTAAGAATAAATAGAGATAATGCTGGTGTTAAAGCATACATTATATACAAACCCCGCTGACATCAGCGATGATTCAGCATGCCTATATAGAACAATAGCTTGCCGGCGTTAACTACGTAAGATCGACGTCATCGCAGTCATTCAGTTATGAGGAACAGTACGTTCGTTCGTATAACCGTCGGCCTTGCGTGTTCGCCGTAATGCATAGACATCGTGCAACATCAGAATAGGGGTATGTGGCGCATAAACTAACAACGCATGAGATTACTTTCCTTTATTCGAGTTGTGAAGTCTACGTTAAACTGAATAGTTAGATCAGTGTTTCAGTAGCTGAACTATGTGCAAACAAGAGCTGTTTCTAAATCATCAATAGAAAATTAAATTTATACGTATCAAACCAGTGTACTGAATGCCATGAAGCGCGTAGCGAAATTACCGGTCCCCATAGACGTATAAGACAGACGTCCGTTAATTCCAATGCTCAGTGCAAACTGCCCCGACCACGTGCGCGTGCCTCGAAGCCCGCTCCGCCTCCTATTCGTCGATAAAGTGTGGCCCGCTCCAAGATTATTCGTTACTACTATTTTGCAACATCCTCTCAGAAGGCCAAGATGACTCGCACGCATCGGTGAAGTCTGGATAACTCCAGGTTGCTTTGATTCGGGCTGTTTTTCATCAAAGTGAGCACGATAGAGTTAAACTTTAGTTTACAGGCGTTAAGTATTTAACATTAGTTTCGATGCTCGAAGGTCGTTTTATCGAATCTTCGTTATTTGGTGCGATTAAAAAAGCCTGTAGTCGGACACAAGTCTGCGGCATGTCGTCCACGAAAATGGATGCACACAAGCCAGCACCAATGGGCGCGACCGACACCATGAGCTGGACGGCCCCGCCTTCGGGAAACAATCCTGAGGGTGACAGGCAGCCGCGCTTCTCCAGGCTGGCCCCTTCGGACCGTTCCTTGACCATGTTTGTAAACAGGGGTAGACGCCGTCGACATACTGATGCGCTTGTTATGACGTCATGGCGCGTAGGCTCCGCTCACCTTCAAGCTCGCCACCGCTCTCTATAAACACGTTGACAACTGGCACAACAGCTACGAAGCTGCCTCCGAGCACAACACGTCGAGGAGCCTCCAGGGCGTTCAAAAATTGAAAAAGAAACAGCAGGCAACTTAATTATAGAGTGAGAAGGAATTAATATAACATTGGAATAAATATATTGTTGGCGGGAGGCTTGCCGATGCGCTGTGCTCGGAGGCAGCTTCACAACGGCTGTGCCAGTTGCCACGTGGTCATATATATAAGGTATCGTGGTGAGCTTTCAGCCGGGTGGAACCTACCCGTCGTGACGTCGCTACAAGAACCCCAGTATGTCGATGTCCACCCCTGTTTACGAACATGTAATAGGCCTATTGCTTTCGGAACACCCTGATTAGTTACTGAGCATGTCCTGCGTTGTGTGTCCTGCGTTGTGCGTGAATCGCTCAACGAGGTATGTGCGGACTGTGCTCGGGGCATTCTCACCTGGCTTGTCCCTGAAGCAGGCGAGAACGAGGCGCGCCTTGATGCCGCATTCCTGCTCGGCCTTGGCGAATCCAGCCAGCGTGGCGTCGACCACCTCCCGGGTCGTGTTGAGCGTCATGGGGCCCGAACCCTTGGGCAGGCTCGACATGCTGCTGCTCATCATCTGGGCGAACAGGCGCATCTCGCTGTAGATGACGCCGCAGTTGGCCTGGTCTACGGCAGCCTCGTACGCAATGCGTGTCAGGGCATCCCGGTCACCACTGCACATGAAAGAGGCAACTAGTTGCTTTGGTTTTGCATAATTTCGCCTTTTACGTGCTAAACATGCCACGTGAATCACAAGAAAAGCCGTAGTGTGGAATTCCGCATTGATTTTAACCAACTTGCTTTCATTGACCCGCACTTTAATCTGTGAACATTTTTACTGATTTTGGCGTAGAAATAGAGGCCAATAAGTCTGCGCAAAGCTATATTCTGCATTTGCGATAGTTTAATGTCATCGATTACCGATATTCAAAGGGATTCAACGTCCCCTCTACACGCCACACAGGTTACATAATCATCTGAGCTTCAAGAGCATGTTTGGTAACACAAACACGTTTAACAGATCAGCACTACCGCAAGCCATCTGCATGTAGAATGATCTTCCCGACAATATCGCCTCTGATGGTAATTCTAACACGTTTCGGCAAAAACTTGAGATGCATTTCTTTAATATAGCATCGTGAGGTTGTTTTACTTGTTTAAATTTCGAGCTATTTTATGTTGTGAAATGTTGGCCTTTATTTTCATCAGCAAGTTGTAATCTATTGTTTTAATTGTTGCTGACTTATTGAATTCTTAGTTTTTGTTACACCACATTATGCTGCTATTATTAACCTGTATTGTATAGTTGTTCCTGACAAGTTTACCTCCACATTCACTGTAACCTCTCTTACTCAATGCCTTCAGGCCTGCAAGGTATTTTTCAATAAATAAATAAATAAATTGACGAAATAAACTGGTGAATACCATAGATCAGTAATGTAGGCTTAGAATGATTGGTACAAGTTCAATAATACAGTGAGGCAAACCGATTGTCAATAAGTTATCTATCGCATATGGTGCAAATTTGGTAGTTAGAACAGTGTTCGCTACGTCACCGTTCCATTTGAGCTTCCGTCGTAATAAAATACTAGATGCAAACGGTTACCACAGAAGTGGAAATGAAACAAAAACATTTGTTTTTTCGCTTTTTCCCTTCTTTTAAGAATCGCAAGGAGATTTTGTTACTATATAGCAGTCTCGATAGGACGACCAACTTAAAAATTTGATTTTCGCTCAAGCCACTCCCCACTGATATGACGGTTAAGTCGTTAGTAATGTACGCGGTTTTCTTGATGCCATAAAGTACGGTTCGATTCTGATAGAAACAATCGGTTGGAACAATAAGCGTATGTTGAACAGATGGTGGGCTACGGGAGCTCACACAACAGCCGCCGTATTGTTTCGTTTCATATAGAATCTCCAATTCAGGAACGACGTCGCCATCTAGTGGGTGAAGTTTCAAGTTGTACAACTGATCAATACGGCTTTGAAAGCACGGACAGGATGAGATGCGTTGCGCTTTATATCGGTTGATGTGCGTTCCAAGTGTAAGACATGATTTTACCGAAACTACATTAAAGCACCTTAGCGTGAACATAACTGAAAATTCTGTTTGCTAAGGGCTATAGTACAGCCCGGTTCTCTCGGCATACAATACTTTGTGACCTTTATTGTACTTTCTGCACTTTCTGCACGACGTAGATAAGGCAAATTTACCAACTTCATTTCACAGATTAAGCCTTGCTTTAATAATCAGAGTAGACTATATAATTTCAACTTGTAAGGAGGCGGATAGTAAATGCTTAATGAAATAGTAGCGCGCTCGTGACAATCACAATGATACACTTCTCATCTTTCAGCTATGCATGTGTGTTTAGCGTCATAAGTGGTTGTTGTAATATTTTGTTACAGCAATTCGTAAATATACGTTAAAATACGTTAGGCTATTAAACAGTAAAAGGAAGTGCCGCTTCTACCTACGAGCTCAATAATCGGGGCCATGTCGCGAGATACTCTCAACTTTTATTAATATTTATTTTTCTGATTAATGTCTCGAGACACATAAAAATGGTATAATATATCAAGGTTGCTTCGTACTTCGAGGCTCTTTTCGGTGAATTATGACAATATTTCACGAGAACTATATAACCATTCGAACCTCTTGCCACACGCTGTTTACAATACAAAGATGGTGAACTGGTGTGCTCGATTTGACAGGGGCATTTTTTTTTTCTCTTAAGCTGATGTCACTGTCCCTGAAAGTTCATTTTAAACTTTTTATTTATACAGTGCACTTAATGAAGAGCATTAACGAAGTCCACGGAAAGAGGAGGACAAAGCGATGGCGTTACTTACACGATGACTCTCAGATAGTTCGGCATCTCCTTCAGGTAGTTCTGCAAAGTGCTAGGTTTGGACGGCCTAGTCTTCTTCAAGCAGTCTTGGAGGTTGGCGTAGCCGAGATCAATCTTTTTCTTCCTGTGACAGAAAGTGGGTTTAGGAACAAAGCCTCGAGACTTCGACAACCAATGAACGGCCACAATGGGAGACGATAAGAAGCGGCGAGCCTTACTTTGAGTACTCCATGAGTGTCGTGTGGCGTATGTGGCCGTCCAAGTGAGTATGCAGCATAACCTGGTAAAAGACGTGTCAGGTCAGCTTCCGTGTTGTCAGAAACTACAGACTACGTGTAACGTTAACCGTTTTATAAAAGCCTGTTGTAGATTGTTTCCATGCAAATGAACCTATAAGACGTTTTTTTTTTTTGTATTTTGCCTTGCCAGCCTTTAGTCTGCGTCAGTACTAGATAATGGCAAAGCTTCATGACAAACGCAACCTATGGTTTGGGACAATACCTTGTTTTACAGAAATCAACGGCCGCAGTGGATGATACAAATTTGACAGCACTGTTTTCGAGAATAATTATTTGCAAGTTTAGCCTCTTGATCACCGCGGCTTAAATCAGCTATCAAAAAACTTAACGAGTTTATTTGAACAGTGAATGGCTGTACAAACGTGTACTTCATGCATATAAGATGAGGCTCAAAACGGTAGTTCTAATAAGTTTAATACAAATGAATCACAAAAGCAATCATTGGGCCCTATTAAAGCTATAAAAAGTGAATAGTTTCCTCTTAGAAAGACGTACAGCAGAAATATAGAGTGAATACACAAGCGCGAGCAATGACTTCAACGTGTTCCGCATGCTATATAACACACTCAATATACTACATTGAACCCAACATCAAATCGCATGCCTCCAGACAGTGAACGCTAACGCGTTAACTGTTCGCTGTCAGTACAAAACTCGTTTTGTATCACAGACGATGAAATTAAACAGGGATCAATACAATGCATAGAGTGCATTTAACGGCACTCCATGTTCGATACTCTGTATACAGTGTATTGAACCTGTGCACACGACATTGTGTAATGTACAGAATGGACTGGGTAAATGCACAGCTGCTGGTTAGCCGTCGAAACGATCGTGAAACTCACCCTAAACCTTGGGAATGGTACAGCCATGCTGAGGGTTCGTCTAGGTGGCGGTACGACGAGGCGCTGCTGAAGTCACGGCTCTTGGGCTTCAGGAGTTGCTTTACACCCACTACGAGGATCAGCCGCGGAGTTCAAAAGGGAACAAAAGCGCCAAAAGTTAAGTGGTTGAGTTCTGCACACGCAATATATTGTTAGAGATGAGCTCTAAAACAAAGGCAAAATATTTCAGAATAGAGAATTACGTGATATTTGGTGAGGAAACGAGATAAGCTTTTCTTTTTAGCCAGTGTCAGTTTCGTGCGATAATGCATAGATCCCGGAGGTCATGGCTGACGCTGTCGAGTGAAGAAACTTGCGTGGAAACTGTGCGAGTTGCGTTACCCTGTTCATCGCCCCCTCACTCTGAGTTTTCAATATTTGTGTAGCAGGTTCTTTTTTCTTTCTTTTTTGAATCGTCATTCTACGAGCAGCCTGGTCTGCTTGCAGGAAGTTGTAACCCGGAAAGAAAAACTTGTAAAAAGACTGAAGCGTAACTAGGCACACTTGTTTTTCGCCTAATTGGCACTCATTCCGCACGAGGATAGCATCAAGAATTTCCCCAAAGCAGGCAAGGCTGTGAATACGGAAAATCTGAGGCCCATATCACTGACTTCGTGCGCGGGCAAGCTTATGGAGACGATGGTACGGGATCGCCTCTCCCCATACCTTGAGGGCAAGGGCTTCTTTGCAGACACCATATTTGGGTTTCGCCCACACATGTCTGCACAGGACGTCCTTCTCCAGCTCCATAGGGCCGTCATACAGCCCATAAGTATGCAACACAATGATAAAGCCATCCTCGCCCTTGATCTGAAGGGGGCTTTCGACAATGTTAAACACAGCAGCATCCTGGCTAACTTGAGCTCCACTGATTGCGGGGCTAAGGCCTTTGCATATGTCAGAGATTTTCTCTCTAAACGCCAGGCACTTCTTCGGATCGAGGACGAGGAATATGGCCCGTACATTATGGGAACACGGGGTACCCCACAGGGAGCAGTGTTATCACCACTCCTTTTCAACATTGCTATGATGCGCCTTCCAAGCGAATTGGCCAGGGTGGAAGGCACGCAACACGCAGTATATGCCGACGATATTACAATCTGGACCACTGAAGGGAGCCTTGGTGAAATGCAGGAACGCCTTCAGCAGGCCGCATCCATAGTCGAGGCGTATGCCAACGATTGTGGACTCCAATGTGCTCCAAACAAATCAGAGCTTCTGCACGTTAGAGCGAATCCAAGAGATAAGTCAGCCATACACATCTCCCTGTCTGGGGTTCCCATCAGAGAGGTGGAGGAGCTCCGAATTCTGGGCCTGTTCATTCACCACAGACTCAGACCGGACTCCACTATAGCGAAACTCAAGAGAATAGGCGAACAGGTAGGGCGCATGATCCACCGCGTTTCCAACAAGCGGGGTGGTCTGTGGGGCAGGGACGCGCTTCGGCTCGCGCATGCCTTCGTGACTAGCCGGATCCTCTACGCCGTCCCATACCTTCGCACTAACAAGCAAGAAGACGAAAGAATAGATGCCATCATTCGTAAGGCTACTAAACGAGCTCTGGATCTCCCGGTGGCCACTTCCAACGCCAAACTGAGGGCGTTAGGTGTGCTCAACTCCTACCAGGAGTTGCGGGAGGCCCACCTTATGAATCAATATACGCGGCTCGTGCAGACGGCTCCCGGGCGCCGCCTGCTAAACCGCTTACATATACAGCACACTTGCACTGCAGAGGAGGCGGAGCGTATTCCGGAACTGTGGCGGCATATGCTCTCGGTCGCTCCACTCCCCAGTAACATGGATAAGCACACGCACGAAAGCAGAAGACAGGCGCGGGCTCGGACGCTTGAGAAGCAACACGGCTCCCGACCTGGTGTATTCTACGTAGATATAGCAGGGCCTTCGCCCACGGGATTTTACACGGCCTCTGTAGTTCACCGGGAAAAGCATGTCAATGGGCTCTCGTTCCGAGCACAAAATCCAGAGCGCGCTGAGGAAGTCGCGATAGCGCTTGCTGCTGCGGACCCCAACTCGAAAGTTATCATCACGGACTCCAGGAAAGCATGTACTCATTACTTGGTAGGAGAGATATCCCCCCTAGCCAGCCAAATTCTAAAACGGGCTCTCGCTGATCCAGCCCCGAAACGCATCGTATGGGCTCCTGGCCATCAGGGCCTACGAGGTAATGAGGCCGCTGACGCGGCCGCCCGAGCGCTTACCCGCCGGGCTCCTCACCTTGGCTCTTATGACTCGGAGGCCAATACACCGCTGCTGCGGTTCAAAGAAATTCTCACCTATTATCGTGACACTCACCGCCTTTACCCGGCTCCTGCAAAGGGGCTGAGTAAGGCTGAAGAGCGAACTCTAAGGCGCCTGCAGACAGGTACTCTACTCTGTCCTGCAATCCTAAAGCATTTCGATGCGAACACAGATGGGCGGTGCCCACACTGTGGGGAGACGTGTGATATCTTCCACATGGTATGGGCATGTCCGAAAAATCGCCACCTACCCCCTTCCCCTACCCCTTCCCGAGAGGCATGGGAGACTGCCCTCCTCGACAGCTCATCACTAGAGTCTCAACGGGCTCTGGTGAGACGGGCGCGAGTAGGGGCCTCGTCATGCGGTGTCCCGGACTAAGGACGCCGACCATGTAGCAGGGTCATGCTTTGGCCCCGTACCTCTCTCTTTTATAATAAATGTTTTTCATCATCATCATCATCAAGAATTCAGCTCAAGCTTCATACAACATGCGAGAGTGCACATTCTCTTCACCTCACTAGGTAATCTTCCCGTTCGAACAAGCTCGAAGCTTAAGTGTATTGCCCTGCAGTGATTTTAAGCGTATGGACAATGTAAATTTTGTCCTCTTTACCTAAAAGATATTGAAACGGTATCAGGGTCTCCCATGACGTTTGCCACGACGCTCAGCACTTCCAGAGCCTGAATCTGGCGTCCCAAATGTTTTAAGTGACGCAAGTGCGCTTGACGTCCCAGTGGATGCGAGGGGACTTAACTGGCTCAGCTGTACAAATGCTCTCCGTGTCCTACTGAAGCTTTATGCAACCATAGGTTCAAGTTTTTTGCCGGCTATGGTGAAGCCGAAGCGTCCGAGACGCTGAATGATGCTGCGTTCGCATCACATGCAGTGTTATTGCAGTGTATATTGCAAGGTCACGTGACCTCCGTGACCTTACAATATACCTGAATTGTGTAGACGTCAAGTTTAGTTTTGCAAAGCTTTGTGTTGTTTCTAGTTGCGAAAAATTACAAACACGCAGAGTAGGTGACATCTTCGTCTCGCGATCTTACCTATACGCTAGTTTGACTTTTTTTTTTCACTGCGCACTCTAGATTGTACAGTCAGCGTCAGAGGTTTAGAGACCTCCCGATCTGAAAAAGCTTCATATTGCCACAGAGATTGCTCCTACTAATTATTTTACAAAGAGGACCAACGGGACGCTATGTGAGCGTCTGCAGTGCCTCGCAACTAACGAGACGCTATGTGAGCGTCTGCAGTGCCTCGCAACCAACGAGACGCTATGTGGGCGTCTACTGTGCCTCGCGCCTGCTCACGCATCTTGGGCAGAGCAGCGCATGCCTCGGGTGGAGGAGCACGAGCCGGGAAGACTGATGGAGGAGTTGTTGAAGTCGAAGAGGTTGCACTTCTGGTTCCGGCAGAAGAATGGCGTGCCGAACTTCATCACGGATGACGGATGTGAGATATGAACCTGTCGGCATGACTTGCGGTAGGAGAGTGTTACGAAGCTCCACTTTGACGATGGAACGCACCAGCTCCCTCAGCGTCTCGTTGCTGCTGTCTCGCTTCGCCAAAAGGAGGCCCGTGGGCTCACTACTGGCATCCCGATTGTAGTGACGGGCACGCTGCTGCAGTGCTCTTTCTATGGTCATGACTTCTGTGCGGAATTCAGCCACGTTACGAGGAGGATTGCGAACCAGGACTGCAATTAAGTCCTGTTTGACTCCACGCATCAAATGGCGCACTTTCTTTTCTTCGGTCATGTTCGGATCGGCTCGTTTGAAGAGGCGGGACATGTTCTCGATATACATGCTGAAACTTTCGTTCGTGCATTGGTTTCTTGATTGAAGGGTATTTTCTGCCCTTTCCCGGCGATCCGTGCTGGCATACGCAGCAAGCAACTGCTGCCGAAAGTCTTCCCACGTCGCTATTGCCCCTTCGTGGTTCTCAAACCATATTCTCGCTCCATCCTCCAACGCAAACGCAAAGTACACGTGGTCCAATTTCCTCGCCTCATCCCAGGCATTGGTCCTTGCGACCCGCTCGAAATGCTCCAGCCAGTCTTCCACATCTTCGTGCGCGTCACCGTGGAAGGGTTCAGGTAAGCACGGGGGAGACACGATGAGCTCAGATGTTGAAGCTGGATTGGCCATTTCTCTGAAATTGGCGGTTACTGCTGCCCGTGTTGCTGGAGTAGTGAGGAGTGGTCCAAATTCAGGTGACTCACCTCGGAGGCGGCGACTTGAACGCTGGTGTACTGGAGTAAGTTCGCCAGGCTCCAATCGCTGGGGGTCAGGGCTTCTTTCTCTTGCGCCAAGGGGACTTCCAATCATACCCCGCACCTCCACCAGAATGTCACGTAATACAAGAGGGGGAACACACACAATGATTTATTGAGGGCGAACTTGTGCCCAGAAAAGTAGCTATGTCACAAAGAAGAGTCTGCTAAAAGCGTTCCGCCTACGTGTCCCTTTCTGAACAACTCCTCTGTCAGTCTTCCCGGCTCGTGCTTGTCCACCCGAGGCATAAGCTGCTCTGCCCAATATGCGTGCGCCGGCGCGAGACACAGTAGACGTCCACATAGCGTCTCGTTGGTTGCGAGGCACTGCAGACGCCCACAAAGCGGCTCGTTGGTTACGAGGCACTGTAGACGTTCACATAGCATCTCGTTAGTTGCGAGTCACTGTAGACGCTCACATATCATCCCGTTGGTCCTCTTTGTAAAATAATTAGTAGGAGCAATCTCTGTGGCATTATTGCTCAGCGTATAATTACTGAATTCGGTGGAAGTACTACACTCCACATGCGAGCACGTTCAGAAGAGTACAGGAAATTAAATTCAAAGCTCCCTGCTGAAGCAGCAGAAATAAGCCTTTTTTATTTCTCGTGGTCCCTCAGCTTTTCACACTTACGACGTATGCACAGAATGCGGTTCGGGGCACCAATCCTGCGCCACAGATTCACTCTGTCGGGCATGTCACTTCAATTTTAATGCGCAGGGTTGATAATAATATCTGGGGTTTCACGTGCCAAAACTGCCAAATTTGATTATAAAGAACGCCGTAGGGGAGGGTCCGGGAACTTCGACCATCCAGGGCTCTTCAACGTGCATGACGTCGCTGAGTACACGGACCTGTAGCGTTTAGCCACCGTCGAAATGCGACCTCCGCGGTTGAGATGAAAGCCGCTACTTTCAGATCAACAGCTGAGCACCTCAAGCGCTACTCCACCGCGGCGGACTAAAGGGCAGGATTATGGCCGCGCGTGTTTTCCGACGATGACTGGGGCTGACGACCACCAGAAAAAAAGGCGACCAATGAAAACCCGTTGTGCGAATGACGTCATCACTTCATTTTCTTTTTGCATCCAATGAACTGCTTCTCTTCTATCTGATTTGACCAACAAAAACGGGTTGGTGGAATGGAGAGTTAGTGATAAAGTGAAACTTATAACGGACAAACCTGTGCACTCGTATGTTATGGCTGCCTCTACGAAGCTGTATATTGCCGCATTCAACCTGCAGAGAAGAGCTCGCGAGGCAAGAAAGAAAGACGAAGTCCTTGCCCGGTCCTCTTTACGAGCGCCTTTCATTTTCATTAAAGTGAGCTCTTCTATATCGGACTTCTGCTGTGTCTGCGTCGTGACATTATGTTCAGTGTCTAAGCCTTAGGACAGAGGGTGGACTGAAGAAAAGGGGCGTACTTGGGCGAGCTGGTATAGATTCATGGCGACTGTTAGCGCGTGGAAAAAAGGACAGAGAGAAGGCGGAGAGGTGGCGCCTGTCCCAAGTCTGTCCCGTCTTCCACGCGCTAACGTCTCGCCATGGACCGAGGGTGGCCGAGAGAGAACCAATGCAGGCTGTCGCGAGGTAACCCGAGAGGAAAACAGTCGAGCATTGTCAAGCTCACGCGAAAAGAGACCAGGCGGTTGCTAGGCGAAGCTAATGGGGCAGCCCAAGGGTGACTGGTCACTTTGTGAAGTGGTCGACTTACCGAAGGTCCGTCGCAGCCGGCCAGGAGCTTGCGTAGGTCCGACGCAACCGGCCAGGAGCGCGAGCGCCACGTACGAGGATTTCTTTTTCGTCACCACGAGCGGGCCGCGAGATGTGGACGATCTCGATTGGTGATATTCACAAGCCGTGGCACATACCCACAAACATGGTATAGGCCATGAAGAGGGCGGAGTGGACAGACTGATAATAAGGAAAGTGATCCGTCTGAATACAAGACACTAATGAGAAACTGTCAGTACCTGCACCTTGTATGTTGCTCACTTTCAAATCAACGACCGACTGGTCAAACGATAACTAAGTGAGAATAATAAAAGAAAAAATGTTAAGGTTTAATAATCGCTTATATTAGCCTTAACGCAAGCAAAAAAGATGCATAGGAAGCGAGAAGTAAAATATAGAAATAGTGAATCTAAAAATGGGAGCATAAATTCATTATTTTGTTTTTTGATGTAGCTTTGTGAAACTTCTTGTACTACTTGGTCAATTCTCTATAGAAGGTACGGGTAAAATATTAAATGTGATAGACCGTTCAGCTGAATGGTTCTCTTAAAATTACGACGTAATAACCCACCACATGCATAACGTATATTTTAAAAAGGAATTTCAGTCTAGGTGTCTACTTGTTCTATATGTCATATCTATAAGGAACCTGAAATTCGCGAGACTTTCTATTTGACCCGGCACCTATATCCACAGAGAAGAAGATGTTTGAGTATTATTCTAAAGAAATAAGATTTACGCTACATACGGAAGACATTCTGATTTTTATCCTTTTTCATTGGGCTTCGGCCACAGGAGAGTCGGCATGGTCCTCTGTGAGTTCCCGGTCTAGAGTGTGTCGAGTCCTTGCCAACTAACTCAGAATCAATAATTAGGTACTTTTGAAAAGCAGCAATTTGCTGACTAAGCATTCAAAAAAGTTTTGTTGCTGGCCTTTTTTTTTTTGCTACGGACGTGGTGAGTTGCAAAATTCTGCGTTCTTCAAAATTATTATATTTCTAGATGGCGCTGTGCTGTTGTGACGCCGTCCTCGAGAAGGATGTGCATTGTGTGTCGTGTAGTCGTGTGCTTTGTCTATAGACGTCACTGCTTACTGGAGCACGTGATTGTCGTTAACCAATCCCGTGTGTGTGCATTGCCTCGTTGTGTGTTGGGAATAAATGGCTAGCAGCCGGTCCAGTCATTGTTGGATTTTCATGGGACTCGGTTGACACTCTCTTGTGTCGGTGAGCCGTTGCCGGCGCTCGCCTTGTGCCGCGTCCATTCGTCGGACTCCTTGCCGTCGTTACAAGTGCGAACAACTGTTTTCTCGCCCTGCCCTTTTCTCTTTTTTTAAAATTACCGCTGACGTTTACCTCAGGTTTTTAGATTGTTCCTCCTTGATGGTTAAGTGTCATCGACCTATAAGCAAGCAAACGCTACGCACTCGACCCAAGTCCATTTCTTCTTCTTGATTTCAACTACGATATCCTTAACCCCTGTTTGTTCCCAGACCCGAGATATATTAGTTGTGAATTCTCACATACCCTGCTTTGTCAAGCAGTAACTAACCCGTTCTACCTTCTCGCGTAGGGAATTCGTGCATGGTCAACTGATTTCACTTCGTGCGGGTGTGATTTCGACTAGACAAGTGGTGATAACGACAATGGGCAGAGTAGTGACGGGGAGGAAGAAACAGCTATCTCGTCTTTGAACCAGATAGTTGTTTTAGTATATTGTATGACACGCATGTCATGATTATCAGGTTTGCACCAGTCATATGCTTTCTTCATTCATTCACGTCATGTAACCAAATTTGGTTTATGCAAAGCTAGTGAATAGACCACGAGAGCACCATGACCGGGGCGTGTAGGGATCACTTACCTGAGACGGTGATGACATGCCAATATTTCCACGTGAGGCCCTGTCACTTATGTTCGCCGTACATTCATATCAGTTTTGCTATATGTTATGTGAACTAAATCACCGCAGCAGCAGCAAGACTATGACATGTAAGTCATGACATTTATGACAAACATGTCATGATTTTCATGTTATGACTAGCCGCATACGCTCGTCCTACAGTCATGTTATGCCATACCAGTTTTGTTATAGATCCCGTTATCCAAACGGCCAGGAGAGCTAAAAGTCGTGAGCGGCTAGATAGATAAACAGATCATCATCATCATCGTCATCAGCCTGACTACGTCCACTGCAGGACAAAGGACTCTCCCATGTTCAGCCAGTTAGCCCGGTCCTGTGCTTGCTGCTGCCAATTTATACCCGCAAACTTCTTAATCTCATCTGCCCACCTAACCTTCTGTCTTCCCCTAACTCGCTTGCCTTCTCTGAGAATCCAGTCAGTTGCCCTTAATGACCAGCGGTTATCCTGTCTATGCGCTACATGCCCGGCCCATGTCCATTTTCTCTTCTTGATTTCAACTTTGATATCCTTAACCCCCGTTTCTTCCCTAATCCACTCTGCTCTCGTCTTGTCTCTTAAGCTTACACCTACTATTTTTTCTTTCCATTGCTCGCTGCGTCGTCCTCAATTTAAGCTGAACCCTCTTTGTAAGTCTCCAGGTTTCTACTCCGTAGCTAAGTACAGCTAAGTAGCTATTAAAGTCTCCCATCAGCATAGTATACTGTGTTTTTACCTTACTCATTGCCGATTCCACGTCTTCATAGAAGCTTTCAACTAAGGCCTCATCATGGCTGGATGTAGGCGCGTAAGCCTGTACCATCTTCATCTTGTATCTCTTATTCAGTTTAATTACGATACATACCACCCTTTCATTAATGCTATAGTGTTCCTCTATG